ACATAAAAATAAAAATAATATAACTTTGAAACGAGAGTAAAGTAATAATAAAATTACCATATTCTCTTACATTGCTATAATTTTTTTATTTACTATTTTGCTTTATGCAAGTTGAAGAGAACTCAAACACGTTCTGCTATGTTTTATGTATCGTATGTAAAGTTGTATAAAATTTTTCTCAAGTGAGATGTGAACTTTTTTCAAGGAAAAAATAGGGCTTCGGCGTGTTTCAAGTATTATATCGTGTTAAATGAGATCTAAAGGGGAGGTAAAAAGAAAAAATTGATACTATCCATTAGGAACAGTCGCGGGACGCCTAATGAGATAGTTTTACAAGGATATCTGATGATATTTTCATACGTCGAGATAATGTTCGTGGTTTGAAAAAGGTAAAGCTAGTAGGAGGCAGTAGATTTCCATGCATAATGCAAATACTTTCGAGCAACTAGTATAGCGAACACAGCCGCTGTATCTGGATTATGCCTTCGGGATCGCGGCCGTAATGAGTTTAACATGCTTCGGGTCTTCTTTTTCTTCTTGCAGCTTCTTTTCTCTTTTCACTCCCCTTTTTTCCCTTTGAAACCCGCATTCCCCGCCGTACTATCTCGCCATTGTTATTTTCAAATTATAATACGTACATTTTCATACAAAAATTTTGACGTATGTCGTAAATTTTGGAATTTTTATTCGATTAACGAAAAAAATTAGACCTCTTTTCTGAAAATATTGTTCTAACTTATTTCGAAATTTATCGTTTTCTAATATATCAATATTTTCCTTATGAAATATTCTGACCTGACAGTAAGTATTATATCAACATAATTGAAAGTGATAGTGCAGTTAACAATTGAGAGGTCCAGTGCAAGAAGGATCTATGCCACAGAAGTAGTGTTTCAATAGAAACTGCATAATTAAGGCTGCTATTTCTTCATTTAAGCTTACCAATATGAAAATAGTGTATCTGGGAAAATGTTTTATTTTTTATTCCATTCTCTGCATGCTCAAATCTGCAAATTGTATGAAAAAAGGAACATTACAAAAACTGACAAAATGAATTTTTTTCCACATTTTACTCGAATTACAGTGTATGAGGAAATTCTCAAGGTTGTAGCATTGCTCCCTCTCGCACTGGACCTCTCAATTGTTAATCAAAACTTATCAAAATTACCATCGGTAGTTTCAACTTTTACTTTTTCATTCACAGTTCCTTTTTTTTTTCGCACACAATCGAAAACCGTGCGAGCTGTTGCGCAACACGCGCCCCTCGCACGCAACAGCCTGGCTCTCGATTGGAGAACGTGGCGAACGCGAAAGGGGATATCTAGTTTCGGAATAATAATCGGAATGGCCTGAAATAATTCGAGCCATGGTCGCATTCAATTCCTTGTTATTCAATGCCTTCGCGGAAGTTTACACGGGGATACGAGATACATATCCGCTACACGAAGTTCAAGGTTTCGGTACGGGATGCAATAAAACGCGAGAGTCACTCGCCTCGCGTTTGTAGTTATAATGCAGTTACCATTCCGTGGAATGACGAGAGTTACGAGCGTAGTAATTGGTCGGCACGTGGGCGCCTCATTAATACCGTGTGTTTGCCAGCCAGTCTTGACCCATGGTGTCTTATAGGGTTCCTGCCAGTCCCGTGAAAATAAGATTGCACTACTTTCAAGAAAAAGCGCTAAACCTTGTACAGAGGATGAGGAGATTCGTTGCTCACTTCTGATGAAGCAAGTTCGGTTACGTTTCTGGAGTAATAACTTGAAAATACGTGACCCTTAGGTACGGTACGTTGGCCCTTTGAAAGGGTATTTCCATTTGGAGAGGTCAAAGAAATCGGTTCTTTCTTATCGCATTTCCTGCAAGTATTTTACTGAAATTCTACGTCTGAAATCGACGAAACGGGCAAGTCGCAACTAGACTGCGCATTTTTATGCAAATTCATATTTAGAAAAATAGAAGCTACGTAGATAGGCAAGTGTTTCATTCGCTAAATATTATAACGGGTACTGTATTTTGGGTTTGTTTATTATGTGTATTTTTGTGTCTTCAAATTTTCCAGAAGTGCATCGAAATCCGCAGTCTAGTTAGAACGATTTGAAGAATGTGATGTGCACAGCTGGAAACTTTGTGTCTTCCAAACTGGCTGCCATAATTTCTCGATAACGAAACGACTAATCTCTTTCAAATTTCACACACGTATAAAATAGATGTCCCTTCATCGTCCATACTGGAATTATGTCAACGTTTGGAATACCTTTTTTTTTTTTCATTCCCCGAACAAGTTGCACCTTTCAAGATAAAAACGATATTTTTGCTTCACTTGGTTGCTATTTCGTCAAAACACCTTTTTTCTTGCTTTATTCTAGTAGGAATTTTTCTGCTTCGAACGAATACAACGACGTGATCTATGGCAGCCATTCAGAACGGCACGCTGCGAGAAATACGTGATAACTTAAGCAACAATTGAGATAATTACATAAAAATCACACTGCGTTTTCCCGAAGCACGACCAAACGTGTGTGAAAAATTGCACGTCCCTTGGTTTCCACTTATCTTAAAAATCGTCTAAAAATGACATCTCCAAACGGGAATACCCCCTTGATCATTAAACTCATCTGCAACGCAAAATTAACATTTAACGTCGCACGATTACGACGATTAACACGATCATAGTGTACATAGTGTTGTCTTTGCTGTTCTGATCAAACACTTTTTATTTCTTCGTTCCCGAACGCTTTGAGAGAGGACTCTTGATTTTAATTGGAACAATGTGCACGCCCAAGTACACGCACATTCACAGACTGTGATTTACTATGAGCTGTTGGACGATGAAAGCTGGCTTCTCCTGTCTTCAGATCATCGCAAAGTCAGAATTAGAACGAGCATATTGTCATTGTATTTACGTAATAAAATATATATATCAAGATAATTTCAAACTGTTTTTCGTTCGATCCAGCAAAGCTATCTCCCGAAGAAGACTGTCTGATTCTCGACAAAGGTGAAAACAAAAAGAAGGAAGTATTTCAACCCTTTCGCTACGGCAGATTTTATTACGCAACACACGTGGCCGCGAAATCTTTCGTTTCAGCCGTGTCGTTTTCAAATTTCTTTCATTAAATCAAGGTGGAGGCGCACAAAGGATGAAATTAGGGTAGAAAGTCGCGAGCTATACACAGTCGGAGCCAATTTTCAACGCGACTACAAACACCGATTTTACAATCCACGAACACTGTCTAATTATGCAAACTGTTTCCTCGCTCATCGTAAAGTGAAAATGTGTCTTAAGTAACGCTCGTTAACGCTAGGAAGAAGGAAGACGTTTCGAAAGGTTCGTTCGTTCGAATCGGTAGTATGTGGTTGATGTTCACAAGAGGCACGCATCGAAAGGAAATTTCCCGTTGACAGGATATCTGGCATTCTTGCACCGATCAGCCATACTTAACGACGATGTACACACGTGCATTCTGCATGCACGCACGTGATGCTGCATATTCATAAGTTGTGACCACAGCCAACAACATTTCCGCAGCAAGCTTCAACACGTGCACCGAATAAATTCTTCCCACTCTCTTGCGTTTCGTATCTACCGTAAAGAGAGAAAGAGAAAGAGAAAGAGAGAGAGAGAGAGAGAAAGAGAGAGAGACAGTTGATCGTCTTCTTTTTTTCCTTCTTTTCCCTCTTCTTTTTACCCTTTTCGAGATTCGTATCCTGCGACTTGTACGAAGATTTTTTCCAGGGGTGGAAAAGTTTGGCCAATAATCGCGCGCGTGTGTTCGTTTCGATTCCCGTTACGAGAGAGATCGATGCGTTTCTATGGCCGATCGCGAAACGCGCAAGCAAATATGATAAATACTCCGTGATTTATACCCGTTGAACGTCCCCGTTTTCGAACACTCGAGATTGATGTCGCGGGTAATTTTACATAACAGTTGGCACAAGATTTACAGCGGAGAGTGTACGTAAAAATGGAGGAACTGATGTAAGAAATGGTTGTTATTTATAGCTGTTCGAAGAACAGAATTTCCAGTGATTTAATTATCCTTCCAACTATTTAGTCGTTTTACTTATTGAGAGATAAATGTGTTGCATGGTATTTTGCATGGTACCGAAGTGTCTGGTTTTCGACGGTCAAAGAAATATTCTGATGATTATTTTTTTCTTTACAGACTTTTTTCCGGTGTTAGGTGGTTGCATACGAAATGGCCGATTCGGGGATTTCAATTTGACAATTTCGAAGCTAGTCCAGATTCGTCAATTATTTTACTGTTAAACGGCAGATTGTGTACGAAAGTTAACCATAGATCTATAGATCAAATTCCCACCGATCGATCACTTTTTAGTTGGACAAAAATTTATTTAGCTTTTATTAAGAATTTATTAAAAATTTATTTAGTATTCGTACACAGATTGTCACAGATCATGATCAAATTCCACTGATCACATTTTAGTTGGACAAAAATTTATTTAGCTTTCATTAGGAATTTATTCAAAATTTATTTAGTATTCGTACACAGATTGTCACAGATCAGGATCAAATTCCACTGATCACAGCCTGATTAAAGATCCTACATCGATTAATAAATATTACATTGTCACTAAAACCAGAGGCGTTGAAATTAAATACCTCCATCATTTCTTCTGCAACGACCTAAGATAAAGAAGCGTTACACATATTGTTTCAGTTATAACTACATATTTAATTAATCACGACTGATGCTAAAACGTAGTTGACACCAAAACGAGATAACACTACATTCGATATTAACTACATAATTAAATTCTCTTCAAATGATATGTACATTGATCGCTAATTTAACCCGTTTTTGAAATTTGTTCGGCTCATCGGTAACTTTTTAAATCTTGCAGTAAATTTAATAGAAACGTTGATCGTTAAATAGCGTATTTATCGACGTAATACGGCACGATATCTCCCTAAATACGATTCAAACGACCGTAATCATTTTATTCTGTTTTCCTTTTCTTTTTTTCCATTATAGGGCTGTCTCGACGAAAAAGGGGGAAAATTCCGTGGCAACGAACGGCGTGAAGACTGCTCAGGACGACGATGGCTGGGAAGTAGCCACAGGTAATGACCTCGAATTATCGTCAGAGCCCATCATCCCTTGCCCCTATCCTCATGAACGATCGAGAGCCACGTCGAGGCCCCGTGGAAGTAATCACGAGGCCGTCGAGACGTTCTTCCTCGAACAAATGAAGGTCGTGCAGAAAATCAGATTAAAGAACAGCGTTAGCTTGCCAACGGATTTCCGGAACGACGAAAAGAAGGACGTAGTACCGAAATACACGATATTGAAACGAAACGCGGATATCGATCGCGATACCAAGGTAGACGACGCGACGAAACTTTCGAGAACCGCTGAAATTCGCTTATCAAGCACGGCCAAAGCCGAACGTTACAATTCGCTGATATCGGGAACGCGTAACAATGTTAGCCATTTGGAAAAAACGAAGAAACATTGGTCGAGCAAATGTACGACGCAACCTGTTGTCCAAACGGGTTTCTGTAGCAACAAATCCTCGGTTCAGGTAAAATCGTCTGCTTCGACGAAGCACAAGGACGTTCAACGTTCGATCGAGTCCTCGCCTCGCTCGAGAAGAACGTCCAGAGCTTCTTTGTCTCCTTCAGCCAGTCCTGATTTGAGAAATCACGCCAGAAGGCAGGTGAAAATGAGACAGACCATCGATGGGTCTAGAAATGCTCTTACGACGAAGGAGAAACATTGTTCGAACGTTGAAAAAGACAAGATTTCGGAGATCGATGGTCGAATCGAAGGAACGTCCAGTAAGGGAAGGAATTTGTTCATGACGTTGGCGAAGATTTTGGCGGTGATTTTTCTGTACTACATCGCGATTAAGACTGACTGAAGGTGGCGAAACTCGTTTTTTTTTCTCTTTTCGTATCGAAGAATACAGATTTGCAATTGAACGGTAATCGACCGTGCTTGGTACTCGATCGTCGATTTCTAAATCTACTTGGCTCATTTCTGATCACCGACGTCTTAATCAGGCTGGAGAGATTAATTTCTCAGCCGTACAGCTTTTTTCCGCTGCATAAACGGGATTTAGAACACCGGTGAAATTCCACGAGGCAGGAATTTGCGGTGTACGAGATGCTACGATATTTATTTCGCGAGTATAAGACATGTTACGACGGTACCTTACAAATGATAAGCGATTCATTATTTATATATTCACGATCGTTTCATTATTTCAACGTTTTCTTCTTCTTCTTCTTCTTGGTATTTGATATTTTGGACGAATTTGTTTTTGTAGAACTTCTCTCTTTTTTTTATCGGGTAGACATAATTATTATACTTTAGAATTTCAATGCAGTGAGATAAGAATTGAAGCCTAGACTTGGATGTGCGTGTATTCACATTTATTGGAAAAGTTTGTAAATTGATTCGTACTGAATTGAAATAATCGCTGTTATCGTAAATGCTCCAACGTGATTGTTAAATTATAAAACAACGTGCCTTAAACATATTTACAAATCGTTCTTTTTGTAAACTTGTCGACTTTCGCGGTATGGATACTTTTATTTCTTTTGTTTTAGATATTTGAGTAAAAGTGTATTTTTGAGGCATGCTTTTTAAAAATTAAGAATTTTGTATATTTGTACTTTTACATTTTATTTAAGAACACGATGAAAGAGTTCACAGGGAAACTATGTGCTCAAAGAATATTTATAAGACAATTAACGGTGACGAAAAATACAGTACTATTTTTTTATAATTAAGTATTACGCAGGCTTTGCATTGCGAACGAGAAATTGAACTCCGTTGTGTCGTGCAACGTAGAATACACATAATAGAATACACGGAATTGTGGTCAATATTGTATGTGTAGTGAGAAATTCGTTATTGTTATTGGTGAAATGGTGTTGGTTCCTTAACTTGCGAGGACGTTTCAACGTGAAAGTATTTCATTTCTATCAGTTTTCGCAAATTATTTTGTCAATACACTGATCGGTGGTTGAAATTGTATTAAACGAACCTCTCCGTTCACTTCGAACAAAAATTCTCACCTTGTTTAATTCAAGTTGTACTGATCTATGATTTTTATAAATTACAAAAATACAGAAGAAAATCTTTCCAAAATACAACATTCTTTTTCTGTCGAATTTCAAGAAATCATTCCATTTTTCAGCTATGCCACGCAACTGTTTATTATCACGATTTATTAATCACAGTAAACATGGCTTTGTTTATTTATTTTTGCAATGAATTTTTAAAATGAGAAAATTATTTCTACGAAATTTCATTTCTTTCGATCATTTTCTGTTTTTACATTATGTTCAATTGTATCGTTACACTTGCAATGTACGATATATAATTTAAAAAAGATTATTATACAGAGTGCAGAAAAATTGATCCTTCGGTATAGGAAAGAGATCTTGTTCCTTTACTGTACGCACGCGTGTTTCCGTTAGCTAGAAATAAAGAAACCTTAGCGTCGACTAATAAACTCGAAGGGTTATGTCGTTGCGCATAAACCGACTTTTTGTTATGTGCACAGGGAAACGTCACCGGAAACGGAAGGGCAACACGGAGGTTGAGGGCGCGCGAAGACCGAAGCAGAAGGCCTTCACCGAGCCTGACACCTGGCAATAATCTCTCCCGGAGGAGCCGAATCGATGACTATAACGCGTCATCCTTCCTAGTGACGGTGAATAAATTGAAAGAATGCTGAAACAGATCGACGACATTTTATTGTATCATTTCTTATTTTGTAATACCAACCAGCGAATCACAGATTGTACGGTGTTATTACCTTTTTTATGCACTTGGTATATGTAGAGGAAGGAAATATTCGAGCGGTCTCGTTCGAGTCTCGAAATTGAAGAAGTTTTTCTGGCGGAATATCTTTTGAAGATTATGGTTTGTCTTATGTGAAGTGAAACTTTTTAACAAACACAGTATAGAAGTACAAATGTATTGCAGTTTGTAATAACACGCGCAGTTGAATATCGTAAAATAGACACGCGTTCAGTTTCACACCGGAACTGCTTTATATTGTTAAGTATATAACTCGTATAGAAATGGAAGTTTACGAAATATTTTTCCTATGTAGCGGTCGACACTGCCCGCTATTAAACGTAACAATAAACTGATTGATACAATAAAACACTTGCTACGATAAATCGAGATTTTGTCGAATTATTTATTTCTAGACGATCCATCCGTATTCCTGTCGGCACTGTGATCCTAGGATTAGTCTATGACTGTGTTATTTTATTAATACGACTAGAACTGTGAAATGAGTTGGGAGATTGGGTGGTGTAAAATAAAATTTAGCTATCTAATAAAACCGTATTGATACATTAATAGAATTTTATTAACGAACATGATGTAAATGATACATGATAATAAAAGAAAAAATGTCTTAATGGATACATGGTATTTACGCGGGAGTGAGAGCGTTCCCGCCCGACGGTGCCTCGTGGTATTTTCTGTCGAATCGTGAATGTGAGCGGATGTCGTTGATTCCGTCGACTACTTTTGTTTTTATTAAACTTCTATTTTATTTTACGTTAAACTTTTGTTATTAACCAAGCTAGACTGCTACCCGTCCCAATCCTACATACGTTACGCGTTATACGGAAGTCTGCTGATTTGCAATTTAGTTGGAGCAAACAGATCAGTTTCGAGGAAGAGTTTTCAGTGAAAACAGAGAAGACCTGGCCCGTCTTCCTCGAGAAGAAGAAGCTTAACGAAACGGATAAAACGATTTATAACAATTACTGTGGGAAGGCGTCCCATGAGCCTGCTGTACTCTACTCTCTGGAAGGCGTTCGGCGGATAGTCCAGCCGTTCTTTCCATTCCAGGAGCGACCCAGGTATAGCTTTCGTACTCTCCTATCACAATATTTAAGTGATACGCGTATGATCGGAGAGTCCACCCGCACTTCTCCTGGTAGGCGACCAGCGGATAGTCCAGCCGTTCTCTCTATACCACCAGAAGTACTAAGCAATCCTCTCCGAGCTTCCTCAGGCGTCCTGGTAACCTCCCTGTACTCTCCTCTCTCAGAGGCGACCGGCGGATAGTCCAGCCGTTCTTTCCATCGCGACCGGCGAATAGTCCAGCCGTTCTTTCCATTCCAGGAGCGACCCAGGTATAGCTCTCGTACTCTCCTATCACAATATTTAAGTGATACACGTATGATCGGAGAGTCCACCCGCACTTCTCCTGGTAGGCGACCGGCGGATAGTCCATCTTCTCCGAGCTTCCTCAGGAGTCCGGGTAACCTCCCTGTACTCTCCTCTCTCAGAGGCGACCGGCGGATAGTCCAGCTGTTCTCTCCTCCAGAGTGTCCCAGGTGTCAGTCCCTGTACTCTCCTGTGCTGTAAGGGCGTCCGAAAGCCAGGCTTCGTACTCTCCCACTCTGAAGGGCGACCGATGGTACTACCTTGTTCTCTCCCAGCAGACTACAGCAAGACTGCTTCGCTGCGTCCGCGGCCGTGATATTTATACTTGAGCGTTGCTAATTGTTTTCCCGCGCGGAACCGCGAGACTCCCGCGTAAAATCGCGAGTCTCCCGCGTAAAATTGCGGATCGCAAGCCAGTTTGTTCTAGAAGCTTCTATCGCTTCGCGATTATTTGATTGACGACAAGGATAGAGAGTCGTCCCTCTTACTTCTTCTCGCGGAATGGAAATTTTTGTCGCCGTCTTCGTTGATGGTTGTTACAACGTTAAATTTAGTGGAAATAATAATAACAAATTTTAGAATCAATTAGAATTTCTATTACTAATTATTAAACAAATTTTAACAATTACCGGCACTCGCTAGGCACGTAATATCAGACTTTAAATACTCGACTTCGAACTTCGGTTTAGTCATAATTCTATTAATGTTATAATAACGTATAATTTATTAATTTTCACAATTTTATTATTAATTTATACTTCCAAAAATTTGTTAAAACATTACATATTATTATTTATACATTTTTGCAAGTTTCTTTGACAAATAAGTACGTTTCAACGATCTTATTACTTTCTCGTTGTGAAATCAAGTTCGGAGGATTAAAAATCAGGTTGACCCTTGGTCGTAAATTTAAAATAGCCATAGTGAAGGTGAAATTATTATTTTAAATAAATGTTTCTATACGAATTAAGAATCTATTCAACGTTTGTTTGTTGCAATACCGTGAAATAAATTGTATTATATATTTTCTCAGTTTAGACTGAATTTAAAGTTCGTAAGGATTAGAAATCAGGTTGACCTGTGGTCGTAGATTAAAAATAGCCATAGTGAAGGTAAAATTATTACGTTAAATAATTGTTTTTATACGAATTAAATATTGATTCAACGTTTATTTGTTGCAATACCGTGAAATAAATTGTATTATATATTTTTTCTGTTTACACTAAATTTAAAGTTCTGTTTACATGTTATAACAATTAGAATGTAGACGTTTTGCCGTTTCACGGTTTTTCCTCTGTTAATTATGTGTTTATAAATCATTTCAAACTAAAGCAGCACCATGCCCACCCTTAATTAAACCGTCTCAGTAGTTTACCGTAATTAATAATCTATTTTCGGAATTTATACGAGAATTTTTGAATTTTAGTAAATACTAGAGTCAGTGCATCGCGTATTGAAATAATAGCTTATACAGATAATCTTTTGAAATTACTCTTAATTAGGGAAAATCTTGAATCTTGTATGGAAGATGAAGATTTTCAGGAAATATTTATTTTTCAACAATGAATTTTTGTTTTATCGATTAATAACGTACGAAATGATTTTTGGAAAATTTTCTTCGTTTGAACGTTCGTTTAAGGTTCGACTATGATTATCAAATCTCTCGAAACACCGTAGAATGTTCAATTTTAAAAGTAACTTCTTCAATTTTTGGATAATCTGGGTAACGTGTTAGTGTTGACGATACACTTTCGAGTATAGACGTTAAAGTTCATAGAGTGGTCGGGGGCTACTAGGTAGCCTATGTCCACCCTGTACACACTCAGCCTTCTTGTAACACTTGTATACATTAGAATCAATTAGAATTTCAATACAGTAGACTGAATAACAATTCATTTTAACTAATACCTATTAGAAATTTTCCTTTTAAAACAAATATAAATCATTTTACCAATTACTGGTACTTGCTAGACATTTAATATCAGACTTTAAATATTCTCCTTTCGGTTCTTTTAAATACAATCAAATAATTTCTTCAATTGTCGATACTGACTTGGAATACTCCGCTTCGAATAAAATATTTCGAAATTATTTTGAAGGTTTAGGTAAATAAACATTTGAATTTTAGTCATCGTTGTTCTTCAGACTTGTCGAATAGGATATTGAAATGACTTTGAGCAATTGAAATTAATTTCAAATTTTTCTTTCAGTATTTTTCATATATTTTCTCTGATATTGAATTTTGTTTACTAATAATTTACCATCTAAGGAATTTGCATGAATTGCATGTTAAGTAGTTAGTTGATTTATTATTGTATATTGTGAGCTGATTTGAAACGAGTGCACTACACTCGTGCACTGTGCCCACCCCAAAATTTAACCGTCTCAGTAGTTTACCGTAATTAAAAATCTATTTTCCAAATTTATACGAGAATTTTCGAATTTTAGTAAATACTAGAGTCAGTGCATCGCATATTGAAATAATAGCTTCATCCCTAGTTCCCTTATTATCGAATATTTTTACGCGTTTGACTTATGCTTCTCCCCAATTCTCGTCGCGTATTTTATTTAAATTTCCTTATATGCTAGAATCGAGAAAGATATGAATTCGCGTTTGTTCTTTTATTCAATTTATATTCCGCGTTTATTTTATACTTTGTTTCAATTTTTTATTCGCGTTCAATAATAAAGTCAAAAGTAATATAAATTCGCGGTTTCTCCCTTTCTCAATAAAACTGAAATAAATCGCGTTTCGAAATACTTTTCGCGTCGTCCATTCCACAGTGACTCACATTTTGTGAGGCTGTGAGTCTTGGGAAATCAACGACGAGGAAGTGGAATGATTTGCGGAAGGATGACGATCTGGGAGGATGGAAGGAAGGAAGGAAGGAGGCAATGCAGCCAGGCAGCCAAATCCACGTTGCAGAGCCCAGCTGCCTAATCTTCGAATTGTGAGTGACAAAAATGGGTTTTTTTTCTGGTGATATGGGTAGTTAGTTGTGTTATATATTGTGCTGCCCCTAATTAAACCGTCTCACTAGTGTTTCGCAATTAATAATCGATTTTTACGAGAAGTTTTCAATTTTTCAAAATATTAGAGTCAGTGAATCGCGTATTGAAATAATAGCTTCATCCCTAGTTCGACTTATTATTGCATATTTTTCCGCGTTTATCTGATATTTCCTCCCAATTCGCGTTTTTGATTTTTATTCAATTTACTCGCGTTTATTTCATACTTCTTCACTCGCGTTCTATGAAAGTTTTGTTCGATAGTAGAGTCTAAAGTAATATAAATTCGCGGTTTCTCCCTCTCTAAATAAATCGCGTTTCGAAGTACTTTTCGCGTCGTCCATTCCACAGTGACTCACAATTCGTGAGTTTGTGAGTCTTGGAAAATCAACGCTTGGAGGAAGGATGACCATCTGAGAGGAAGGAAGGAAGGAAGGATGCAACGAAATCGACATTGCAGAGCCCAGCTGCCTGTCTGCGAACTGTGAGTGAATTTTTTGAGGGTTTGGTGGTTGGTTATATATGCGTGTGCATGTGCATGTCGAAGCTGAACTACCAAGAGGTCAAAGAAGAACTGGGGATG